TAATATACATGTAGATAACGTTGATGATAGATACGCGAAAGAGCTGAGCTCTGTGCTGGAGACCTTTGGTCTCACTCAGCATGTGAGTGGCCCCACCCATAGCAGAGGACACACTCTCGATCTGCTAATTACTAAAGGGGTTAATATCTCAAATGTAAATGTGGCCAATGTTGCTCTGTCAGATCATTTCTGTGTATTTTTTGATATGTGTCTCAATAGTAAAGCACGAGCTGAATCCTCAATTGTTAGAAGAAGAAGACACATAAACAAAAATACAGGTGAACTTTTCATGGGGATGATAAACTTTGATAACACGTTGTGTTCTACTGTGGATGAATTACTTAACTCTGTCACCTCTAGTGTTTTGGATGTTCTGGACACGATTGCTCCTGTAAAGGTCAAAATTGTTACAGATAAGCAAAAGGCGCCATGGACAAAAGCGGACTCTGTCAGGGCACAGAAGAGAGAGTGCCGGAGAGCCGAGCGGAAGTGGCGAAAGTCAAATCTCCAAGTTGACCATGAGATCTTCAAAGATGCATTGTGCAAGTTCAACAGTGTGCTACGTAGAACGAGGGAAACTTATTTTTCCGAAACAATCGAAGGTTGCAGTAACAATCTACGCGTTCTGTTCTCAACAGTAAATAAATTGACAAATCCCCCTGTCAAGATGCCATCAGAGCTTACCTCCAAAACCAAATGTAATGAGTTTGCAGAGTTTTTTAATGACAAAGTCCAAGGCATCAAAAATGCCATCACCTCCACAGTAGAAATTACAATCCAACAGCCAGTGAAGCTTTTTGGGCTGACACACTTTACACCAGTACAAAATGAAACTGTCCAAATGATAATTACAAGTCTGAGTTCTTCTACATGTAGCCTGGATGTATTACCTCCTAGATTTCTTAAATCTGTTCTGAGCAGTCTTTTACCTTCACTCACGCATATAGTAAATATGTCTCTTGAATCTGGAACATTCCCAATGGCCCTGAAAACGGCAGTCATCAGACCCCTCCTAAAAAAGAGGAGTCTGGATGCCTTGGCACTTAAAAATTATCGGCCCATTTCAAATCTGCCTTTCATGGGTAAAATTCTAGAAAAAGTTGTCTATCAACAACTTACAGAATTTTTAATAATCAATCACTCTTTTGATATGTTCCAGTCTGGTTTTAGACCCCACCACAGCACAGAGACCGCTCTAGTGAAGGTAACAAATGACATCAGACTTAACACTGACGCAGGAAAAGTCTCAGTTCTTATCCTGTTAGATTTAAGTGCTGCTTTCGACACTGTCGATCATGGTATCCTCATTCAGAGACTTGAGGACTGGGTTGGTGTTTCTGGAACAGCCCTAAGCTGGTTTATATCCTACCTACAGGACAGAAAGTATTTTGTGGAGATCGGAAACTGTGTCTCAGACCATCTGGCCCTGACCTGCGGAGTGCCACAGGGCTCAATCCTGGGGCCTCTCCTGTTTAATATTTACATGCTGCCTCTGGGTAGGTTAATACACAGTAATAACGTGTCCTATCACAATTACGCTGACGATACTCAGGTCTATGTGTCCCTGACAGCAGGAGAACATGGACCAGTGGACTCGCTCCTTCACTGTATCCAACAGATCAGTGATTGGATGCAAAATAACTTTCTCCAGCTAAACACAGAAAAAACTGAAATTATTGTTTTCGGACCTCAGAAACAAAGAGAGAGCGTTATCTGCCACCTCCAGTCTCTCTCCCTGAAACCCTCAACTCAGGTCAGAAATCTAGGAGTAATAATGGACTCAGACTTGAATTTCAATAGCCACATATCATCTGTGACATCATCAGCTTACTTCCACCTAAGAAACATTGCTAAAATTAAAAACATTGTGTCTAAAGCAGACTTGGAGATTCTTATCCACGCATTTGTCTCCAGTCGATTGGACTACTGCAATGGCTTGTTCACAGGTCTCTCTAAACAAGCGGTAAAACAGCTGCAGTACATCCAAAATGCTGCAGCTCGAGTCCTGACTAGAACCAGGAAGTACGACCCACATTAGTCCGGTCCTCAGGTCTCTGCACTGGCTTCCTGTGGCTCAGAGAATAGATTTTAAAGTAGCTTTACTTGTGTACAAGTCTCTCCATGGCCTCGCACCAGGGTACATCCGCGACATGTTGGTGCCATATGAACCAACTCGGGCTCTGAGGAGCACAGGGACTGGACTTCTGTTAGTGCCAAGAGTCGGAACTAGACATGGGGAGGCTGCGTTTCAGATTCATGCAGCTAGAGTCTGGAACCGTCTTCCCGAGAGTGTGAGACAGGCGTCTACTCTAGCAGTTTTTAAAACTGAACTGAAAACAGTTCTTTTTAGCTGTGCATACAAGTGAATGATTTTACATTTGTTTTTATCTTTAATCTTTTTAATGCGCTATGATTATTTATGATTATTTATGATTGTAATCCCTTGTGTGATTTTAATTTTTTACGGTTTTTAACTACTTGTGTGATTTTATATATCTTGTGCTCTTAATCTGTCTTTTTATGTTTACTTAAATTCTAATGTTTGATGATTTATGCATGATGTTATATGGGTTGTGAGGCGCTTTGCGTTGCCTTGTGTAGGAAAGGCGCTCTATAAATAAACGTTGATTGATTGATTGATTGATAGCATAGCATTAGCCGTTCCCCCTGGTTTTAATGGGTTCGGTTAGCATCTGCTATTTATGCCAATTTTCTCTGTGCTTTGTATTTAATGTCCAAACCAAATGACGATCATGTTAATGAGAGTATTGTTGAATTATGACACTGTTCACATGCACTTTGTGGCGTTTTTTAACCTGCATATGAAATCATGTTATGATTTCATCCTTTTGCAATGCACTAGCACTTTATTTTGTAGAGTTGCTATGAGATTATTGATTGTGCAATAGCACTATGCACTTTCACTTAAATGATTAAGTACAAATAGTTAAGCATTTTTCATTGTCTTAATTATAGAAACTTTTGTAGAATAGTTATTGTGATATAGTAGCATCCTATTGCATTTTTAATTATGAAGCGATGTGCATCCTATTTGAATATGTATTGACTTTGTGTACACATGGATTAATGACAAATTACTGATGTATTTTCTATAGTAATTTAGAAGTGTATTAATGTAGTTTTGAAGTAATTAGTATTATGTTTAGTATATACTAAATGGAGTTAATGAGGGTACTGTTCTGTTATACAGGCCAGGTTTCGATGGCGAGCTAAAGAACTGGAACTAGTCCTGGACCTGCTTGGAAACCTGAACCCACCTACCTCGATAGGGCTGGTAGGAGGCTCTTGCAGCCAACCATACAAACTCTCGCACCTTGCACTTTATCCACGACCCCAACCATTGCCTCCTTTTCACTCCTCACACGGACACTTACCTCTGGACTCAAAACAATTCTCGGGTCGTGTGGATTTCGCTCTGTTGAGCGCGTGCAGTTTCAATTGTGTTGTGCGAGTGGCCCACAGGTCACGTGTACATATTGAACTCTAAACCTATGACTTGTGTATATACTGTATATATTGCCTTCTGTGTATTGAGTGTATTTGGGATTTGAGTATGTGTGAATGGCCATTCTAATTCTATTGTCAGTATTGTCTGTCTAATTGTGTACAATACATGGTACCTTTTTAATATGCAACTACAAACCCAGTCTTTGCCTCTTCTCTCCCTGAGTCTTATCTATTCTTTCTGAGTTGAACTAGCCTAACTACTGAACTTGTTGAACTACTATTGTGAGTATTTATTGTAACTAGCTATTTAATTAGCAACATAAGTGCTACACCTGGGTCTACAGCCTCAGTCCTGGATCTACAGCCTCAGTCCTGGGTCTACAGCCTGACCCAGACCTGGTCCAGTTAACATGAACCAGACTGGGTTCTGTGGTGAACATGAATAATAATAATAATAATGATACATTTTGTTTGTGGGCACCTTTCAAAATTCCCAAGGTCACCTTACAGTCAGCATAAAAACAGTATAAAACACACATTAAAAATTACAATACAATACAAGGCCCAGAAGTAAATACAGTGTGGAGTGGCAGAAGGCTAGGCGCGTCTGAATAGCTCAGTTTTGAGTTGAGATTTAAATGTGGTGATGGAGACTATTGCACAAGTGTCTTGTGAGAGATGATTCCAGAGTCTGGGGGCAGAGCGGCTGAAGGCCCTGAGGCCCATGGTGGACATTTTGACTGGAGGGACAGAGAGCAGAGAGGCAGGGGAGGAGCGGAGTGGGCGGGAGGGTGTGTATGTCTGAAGGAGATCTGACAAGTATGGAGGTGCGAGGTTATGAAGTGCTTTGAAGGTGAGGAGGAGAATTTTGTATTCTATACAGGAGGGAATCGGAAACCAATGAAGCTGTTTGAGAATAGGAGTGATGAGCAGGGCAGGAGGAGTTTTGGTGATGATGCTGCTGTGTTCTGAACCATTTGAAGTTTATGGAGGGATTTGTTTGGTAAACCATAAAGGAGTGAATTGCAATAATCAAGGCGGGATGTGACCAGGGCATGAACCAGTGTAGCTGTGCTGTTAGGGGTGAGAGACGGACGTAGACGGTCATACATACCTCTGCTGGTCCCGCTCAGAGTCCGCTGTTGTTCTGGAAAGACTGCAGGAAGTGGACGAATCCTCCGCTCTTTAAAAACACAGCACACTCCCTTTACCTCCTGAAGACCACAGTGGGATCAGAAAGTCTTACCTGAGGTCACGGAAGTCTGAAGAATCTTCTATCGAGCTGTCACTTTGCACAGAGGTCGGAGCAGACAGAGGCCTGAAGCACAAACATACATGTAACATGTTCTTAAATACATGTGTCATGTGACTTATGGACACATACATGTGTCATGTGACTTATGGACACATACATGTGTCATGTGACTTATGGACACATACATGTGTCATGAGACTGTTATAGACACATACATGTGTCATGTGACTTCAGATTCAGTTTATTTGACTCTCTGACTCTGACTACTCTGTGGTAGCTTCTGCCATTTACTACGCTGCCGTGTGTCGGGCCCCGGGCAGCACAGAGCGGGACAGAAACAGACTGAACAAGCTGGTCAGGAGGGCCAGCTCCACTCTGGGCTGCTCCCTGGACTCTGTGGAGGAGGTGAGGGACAGGAGGCCCCTGGACTCTGTGGAGGAGGTGAGGGACAGGAGGCCCCTGGACTCTGTGGAGGAGGTGAGGGACAGGAGGCCCCTGGACTCTGTGGAGGAGGTGAGGGACAGGAGGCCCCTGGACTCTGTGGAGGAGGTGAGGGACAGGAGGCCCCTGGACTCTGTGGAGGAGGTGAGGGACAGGAGGCCCCTGGACTCTGGGGAGGAGGTGAGGGACAGGAGGCCCCTGGACTCTGGGGAGGAGGTGAGGGACAGGAGGCCCCTGGACTCTGTGGAGGAGGTGAGGGACAGGAGGCCCCTGGACTCTGTGGAGGAGGTGAGGGACAGGAGGCCCCTGGACTCTGTGGAGGAGGTGAGGGACAGGAGGCCCCTGGACTCTGTGGAGGAGGTGAGGGACAGGAGGCCCCTGGACTCTGGGGAGGAGGTGAGGGACAGGAGGCCCCTGGACTCTGTGGAGGAGGTGAGGAACAGGAGGCCCCTGGACTCTGTGGAGGAGGTGAGGGACAGGAGGCCCCTGGACTCTGTAGAGGAGCTGAGGAGCTCCTTCAGTGGAAGACTGAGGCACCCTCAGTGTAGGAAGGAGCAGGGCCTTTATCCCCACCGCTGTCAGACTGTACAATAAGTCACTTTAAATGATCACTGTGTGAAAACCTGCACTACTATTGACACTGTTTCCAATTGACACTTGTCACTTTTGTTGTACATATATATCCTGCATGTAACATGTCCTCCTCATTTCCTCCTTTTGCACAATCTGAGTGTTCTATCCATGCTAAATGTGACATGTACATTTAAAGATAAATAAGGCACATCTTATCTTATCTTATTTGCCATTTGCAGTAAAAAAAAACACATTGGAATACATTAGCAAAAGTCTCCAGTGTGCACAGACAAATACAGACATAAAACAACATTAAAAGACAGAAATAAAACAAATAAAACAGTAAACAAATGTCACTGTGAAATGGATCGACTAAAACAGTTTCAAAACAAGTGCAAATCATTAAAGTGCTCTGTTCACACTGATAACAGCCTGTGGATAAAAACTGTTAGAGTAACGAGATGTCCTGCATCTCAGAGAGCGATATCTTCTGCCAGAGGGAAGAAGCTGGAACATGGCTTTCCCAGGGTGGCCAGAAGAGTCATTAACAATCCTAAGAGCTTTGTTTAAAAGTGTGGATTTATAAAGAACCTCCAGAACAGGAAGCTCACAGCCCACGGTCCTCTTTGCAGAGCGGAGCACCTTGTTTAAAGCTCTCTTTTCTTTATCTGTGATGTTTCCAAACCACACAGACACAGAACCAACAAGTAAACTCTCAATGGTGCAGCCATAAAAGTTAAGCACAATCTTAGAGTTAGTGGTAAATTCTCTAAGTTTACGCAGAAAGTAGAGACGCTGACGAGCTTTCTTAACGACTCGGTCAGTGTTTTTAACCCATTTCAGGTTAGACAGAGTTAAACCCAGAAACTTGCTCCTCTACGATCTGCACTTGGGAGTTGTCGATTACGACAGACAAATGAGAACTATTGCGACTGAAGTCGTGACCAGTTCACATGTTTTGGATGCGTTCAACTGGAGGTTGTTAGTTTGACTCCACTGAACCACATTTTGTATCTCTGCTCTATAAGAGGATTCATCATTGTCACTGATGAGACCGATGATGGTGGTGTCATCAGCATATTTGATGATCAAGTTTGAGTCAGAGGAGGACACACAATCGTGAGTGTACAAAGTAAAAAGCAAAGGACTCAAAATACATCCCTGAGGAGAACCAGTGCTCACAGAAACAAGTCATTGATTTTCACTCTCTGATTTCACTCACTTATGGACACATACATGTGTCATGTGACATACATGTCTCATGTGACTGTTATAGACAGATGCATGTGTACATACATGTTCTTAAATACATGTAACATGTCCCTACAGTACATACATGTAACATGTTCTTACTTACATGTAACATGTGTCATGAGACTGTTATAGACACCTATGTGTCATGTGACTTATGGACACAATACATGTGTCATGTGACTGTTATAGACACATACATGTGTCATGTGACTGTTATAGACAGATGCATGTGTCATGTGACTGTTATAGACACGTGTGTGTCATGTGACTGTTATAGACACATGTGTGTCATGTGACTGTTATAGACACATGTGTGTCATGTGACTGTTATAGACACATGTGTGTCATGTGACTGTTATAGACACGTGTGTGTCATGTGACTGTTATAGACACGTGTGTGTCATGTGACTGTTATAGACACATGTGTGTCATGTGACTGTTATAGACACGTGTGTGTCATGTGACTGTTATAGACACGTGTGTGTCATGTGACTGTTATAGACACATGTGTGTCATGTGACTGTTATAGACACGTGTGTGTCATGTGACTGTTATAGACACATGTGTGTCTATAACAGTACAACGGCGGCAGTAGCTCAGTTGGTAGAGCTTTGGCCTTTGAGCCAGAAGGTCGTGGGTTCAAGCCCCGCTCAAGACTTTCACCATCGACTCCCACTGTCTGCTGTCGTTGTGTCCTTGGCAAGACACTTAACCTCTGGGAACATCAGCCACAGTGGGGCGGCTGCGGCTGTAAAGTGCCAAACTGCCGTTGTGTCCTTAGGCAAGACACTTCACCCCCATTGCCTAGAATGAGTCTGGTGTGTGTATGAATGGTTGGTGGTGGTCGGAGGGGCCGATGGCACATACTGGTTGCCTCGCTTCTGTCAGTGTGCCCCAGGGCAGCTGTGGCTACAGCAGTAGTTTATCACCACCGTGTTTGGAGTGAATGAATAATGACACATGTGAAGCGTCTTTGAGTGTCCAGAAAAGCGCTATATAAAACCGATGCATTATTATTATTATTATGTGACTGTTATAGACACGTGTGTGTCATGTGACTTGTTGAATGTATGTCCTCAATTGACCCAGTGACCTACTTTCTGTGTGGGCGTGGCTACACACCGGTGCGCAATATTAATAAATGGCCCTCTGCTTGACACCTGTGAAGAACGCATGAAGCCAAACTGAACCTATGTCTCTGCGTTAAGTTATTCCTCTGTCACTCCGGTATTTCACTCTTTTACGGCGATGGCTGCGCCAACAGGTTATGGGCCCAGTAAAGAGTTTGGAAACCGATGGAACCGATTATGTTTTGACGGAGATGAAAAGAACTATGAATTGTGGGAGACTAAGTTTCTGGCACACTTACGTCTGATTGATCTCAAAAGCACCATACTGAGTCAAGCCCCCGCGGCAGGTGCGGAGAATGCCGTGGAAGACGCCAGTAAGAATGAAGAGGCGTACGCAGTTCTAATTCAACTATTGGACGATAAAAGTTTGTCACTTGTAATGAGAGAAGCCGCTGATGATGGCAGAAAGGCGCTGCAGATCCTCCGTGATCATTACGCAGGCAAAGGGAAGCCGCGCGTAATAAGTTTGTACACGGAGCTGACATCTCTTCAAAAAGGAGTCAATGAGAGCGTCACGGACTACATTATACCGAGGTGAAGTTGGCCGAACGTTTGATATTCGCCTGATATTCGCAAGGGACCGTCTGCAAATTGCAAGAAGTCAAAACGACTAATAAAGACTAAAAATCAACAAAGACAGTTTTCCCAGATTTGATGGGTGTAGTAGCTCCATTTGAACAATGGCTAGCTACTACAGGCAAGAATTTGGGAAAAATATGGTTTTCCCCTTCACAGTAACGAAACTGAAACTGGAAAAATGTACTAAAAATCAACAAAGACTTTTCCCCCAGATTTGATGGGTGTAGTAGCTCCCATTCAATGATAGCTAGCTACTACAGCCAAACTTTTGGGAAAAATATGGTTTTCCCCTTCACAGTAACAAAAATGAAATTGGAAAAATTCACTAAAAATTAACAAAGACATTTTTCCCAGATTTGATGGGTGTAGTAGCTCCATTTGAGCAATAGCTAGCTACTACAGGCAAGAATTTGGGAAAAATATGGTTTTCCCCTTCACAGTAACAAAAATGAAATTGGAAAAATTCACAAAAAATTAACAAAGACATTTTTCCCAGATTTGATGGGTGTAGTAGCTCCATTTGAGCAATAGCTAGCTACTACAGGCAAGAATTTGGGAAGAATATGGTTTTCCCCTTCACAGTAACGAAATTGAAATTGGAAAAATTCACTAAAAATCAACAACGATTTTTCCCCCAGTTTTGATGGGTGTAGTAGCTCCATTTGAGCAATAGCTAGCTACTACAGGCAAGAATTTGGGAAAAATATTGTTTTCCCCTTCACAGTAACGAAAATGAAATTGGAAACATTTACAAAAAATCAACAAAGACAGTTTTCCCAGTTTTGATGGGTGTAGTAGCTCCCAATGAACAATAGCTAGCTACTACAGGCAAGAATTTGGGAAAAATATTGTTTTCCCCTTCACAGTAACGAAAATGAAACTGGAAAAATGTACTGAAAATCAACAAAGACTTTTCCCCCAGATTTGATGGGTGTAGTAGCTCCCATTCAATGATAGCTAGCTACTACAGGCAAGAATTTGGGAAACATATTGTTTTCCCCTTCACAGTAACGAAAATGAAATTGGAAAAATTTACTAAAAATCAACAAAGACAGTTTTCCCAGTTTTGATGGGTGTAGTAGCTCCCATTCAATGATAGCTAGCTACTACAGGCAAGAATTTGGGAAAAATATGGTTTTCCCCTTCACAGTAACGAAAATGAAATTGGAAAAATTCACTAAAAATCAACAAAGACTTTTTTCCCAGATTTGATGGGTGTAGTAGCTCCCATTTAATGATAGCTAGCTACTACAGGCAAGATTTTGGGAAAAATATGGTTTTCCCCTTCACAGTAACGAAAATGCAATTGGAAAAATTCACTAAAAATCAACAACGATTTTTTTCCCCAGATTTGATGGGTGTAGTAGCTCCATTTGAGCAATAGCTAGCTACTACAGGCAAGAATTTGGGAAAAATATGGTTTTCCCCTTCACAGTAACGAAAATGAAATTGGAAAAATTCACTAAAAATAAACAAAGACATTTTTCCCAGTTTTGATGGGTGTAGTAGCTCCCATTTAATGATAGCTAGCTACTACAGCCAAACTTTTGGGAAAAATATGGTTTTCCCCTTCACAGTAACAAAAATGAAATTGGAAAAATGTACTAAAAATCAACAAAGACTTTTCCCCCAGATTTGATGGGTGTAGTAGCTCCCATTCAATGATAGCTAGCTACTACAGGCAAGAATTTGGGAAGAATATGGTTTTCCCCTTCACAGTAACGAAAATGAAATTGGAAAAATGTACTAAAAATCAACAAAGACTTTTCCCCCAGATTTGATGGGTGTAGTAGCTCCCATTCAATGATAGCTAGCTACTACAGGCAAGAATTTGGGAAACATATTGTTTTCCCCTTCACAGTAACGAAAATGCAATTGGAAAAATTTACTAAAAATCAACAAAGACAGTTTTCCCAGTTTTGATGGGTGTAGTAGCTCCATTTGAACAATAGCTAGCTACTACAGGCAAGAATTTGGGAAAAATATGGTTTTCCCCTTCACAGTAACGAAAATGAAATTGGAAAAATTCACTAAAAATCAACAAAGACTTTTTTCCCAGATTTGATGGGTGTAGTAGCTCCCATTTAATGATAGCTAGCTACTACAGCCAAACTTTTGGGAAAAATATGGTTTTCCCCTTCACAGTAACAAAAATGAAATTGGAAAAATGTACTAATGATCAATTTTGACTAATGGTCAAAAGTCTTACCCGAGGTCACTGAAGTCTGGAGGCTCTCCTTTAGAGCGGTCACTTTGCACCGAGGTCGGAGCAGGCGGAGGCCTGAAGCACAAACATATATATGTAACATGTTCTTACATACATGTGACATGTTCTTACATACATGTGACATGTTCTTACATACATGTAACATGTTCTTACATACATGTAACATGTTCTTACATACATGTAACATGTTCTTACATACATGTAACATGTTCTTACATACATGTAACATGTTCTTACATACATGTAACATGTTCTTACATACATGTGACATGTTCTTACATACATGTAACATGTTCTTACATACATGTAACATGTTCTTACATACATGTAACATGTTCTTACATACATGTAACATGTTCTTACATACATGTGACATGTTCTTACATACATGTAACATGTTCTTACATACATGTGACATGTTCTTACATACATGTAACATGTTCTTACATACATGTGACATGTTCTTACATACATGTGACATGTTCTTACATACATGTGACATGTTCTTACATACATGTGACATGTTCAAACATACATGTAACATGTTCTTATATACATGTAACATGTTCTTACTACTTCCTGCTCTGGACAGAGCAGTCGCATTCTCTTGCTGCTCCTCGCTTGCTGCTTTTTAATCTCCTTTAATCATTTTTGCTTACATTTTTATTCCACAAAACACAGATTACTCCTTTTTACAAACTTCAACACAAGACTGGTGGAATTTACCTAACTTACAGCATGTCGGGAGGACGGGAAAAAAGAACAGAGCTTTGCGACGGCTGTTTTTCACTCAAACAGGAGCTAAAACTTCTTCAAGACCGAATGTTTGTGCTTGAATCAGAATTGGGGCTGAACACAACAATACCAGTGAAAGGAAATGGACCAAATGGACAGAACGTAAGTTATGATGACGCTATTTCATTTCCCAAAATCAACAGAGACAATTGTTGGAACACATATGGTGCCAAGCCCAAACAAGGCAAAGCTAATGATAACAAGAGTGTCATAATGCCACAGCAAAAATCTTTAATTACAAGAAACCGCTTTTCACCACTTTTGGAAGATGAATCAGCAGTAGCCTCTCAGTCCCAGTCTCAGTCTCAGTCAAGGTCAAATGCAGCTGAGTCGCTCTTTATCGGGGATTCTGCGATAAGACATGTAAATATGCGTAATCTCAAGGTTCACTCAGTACACTCTGCTAAAGTGGATGAGATAAGGCGGTTGGCTCCGAGGCTTCTGTCTGAGACCGGCGGGGTAAAAAGATTGTTGATCCACGTGGGGGCAGTAGACGTCTATGACAACACAAGTGAAAAGTTGAAACGGGATTATTCTCTCTTATTGGACGACCTTGCTAAAATGGATGCAACAATCGTTATCAGTGGCCCACTACCAAATGTGGACGGGAAGCAAATGAAATTCAGTCGTCTGTATCAGCTAAATACTTTCCTACTCAACGAATGTTCACGCAGAGGACTTGCCTTCATTGAGAATTTTAATCTGTTCTGGAATAGGCATGAGCTTTTTGAAGGGAAAGGGCCACATCTGAACACTTACGGAGTAAAAGTGTTGATGGATAACCTTTCTTTTGCCCTGAGACCTCAGCCTGCGCAGCGCGTGCAGCCATCGAAAGGGAGGAAGCCGACTCTAAAAGTCTCTGCACCTCCACCACCTCGAAGGATCTCAACACCTCCACCACCTCGAAAGATCTCAACACCTCCACCACCTCGAAGGATCTCAACACCTCCACCACCTCGAAGGATCTCAACACCTCCACCACCTCGAAGGATCTCAACACCTCCACCACCTCGAAGGATCTCAACACCCCCACCACCTCGAAGGATCTCAACACCATCACCGCCTCAAAGGATCTCAACACCACCACCACCTCGAAGGATCTCAATACCACCACCACCTCGAAGGATCTCAACACCACCACCACCTCGAAGGATCTCAACACCTCCACCACCTCGAAGGATCTCAACACCTCCACCACCTCGAAGGATCTCAACACCTCCACCTCGAAGGATCTCAACACCACCACCACCTCGAAGGATCTCAACACCTCCACTGTCATCAGCAGCAGCTGCATCATCACCAGCAGCAGCTGCATCATCACCAGTAGCAGCACCAGCTGCACGACCACCACCACCAACATCCTCATCCCTAGCCTGCTCCAAAGCAGCCACGCCTTCTTCATCTACAGCGCCTCTGAAGCCCCCATCCTCACCCCAGCCTACAGCAGACAGGCCTGTGCTGGGGTTTCCTCAACCACCTGCCCCTCCATCAAAGACTCCCTCGCCACCTCCCATGGACCTGTCTTGGGTCCCCCCTGCCACGTCCACTCCATCAAGAGAGAATGGGGACACCTCCCTTTATTTTTCATCCCCGCCTTCACTGTTAGACCTACCTGAACACTCTGCAGGGCTAATAAAATCGGCCATGAAGACTATTCCTCTCACACCCATATTAGCTAGATCTAGAGTCCTGTCCAACATTCTAAACCACTCCACTAGTTAGAGGAGAGACCCGGCTGGGGCCCTGTCATGAAGCCACCTGTGCCATTCCCTTAGTGATAACACAAAGAATACATTACAGAAAGACATCTGGAGTTAATCAGTCTAATCTGGAAAATCTAATTCTTGTTCCGTATAAGAATCAGCCGACCGCAACCGCTGATACTGAAACTTTGAAACTTGCTACGCCGAATGTCAGATCTCTTTGTAACAAGTCTTTTTTAATCAATAATTTTATTTGTTCTCATAATCTTGATCTTATGTTCATGGCTGAAACTTGGCTTGACCAAAATTCAGGAAATGCAGTTTTAATAGAAGCATCACCACCAAATTTCAAGTTTGAATCTGAAATACGGGAAAACAAAAAAGGAGGAGGCTTAGCTGCCATTTTCAGAGACCACTTTGTCTCCCATAGAATGTCTTTTTTAAATTTTTTTTTTAGATTTATTTATTTGAAAAGGGACAGTGCACATTAATAAACATTTTACAATGTAAATATGCCCGAGTTAGCAGAAAAGCTAATTTTCATCGGTAGACCCTTTGGCAGATGTCAAAGCCAGCCTAAAAAAAAGCAAGATTAAAATCACATAGCAATTTACAAAACACAATATAATTACATACATACATAGTACATGAAATGAGCAAAGTATACATTTTCAATATAACTAGTGCTCACAAGTCTGTGTCTCCACGAGCCACTTTTTGGCTTTTTAAAAAAATGAATTAAATGAGGAAGACTCGCAAATTGTTTCAGGCACTGAGTTCCACTGCTGGGAGGCTTTATAAGAAAACACGACCAAATGCAGTTTTTCTGAGGACGCAGTCGAGTTACTCTGGCTGACCTCGATCTGAAGTTTACAAACTCGCTCAGTGAAGGCGGAGCACAGCCAGTTTTTATTTTATACATTAAACAGATGTTTTTGAATTTTATAAGATTGTCCCAATTTAGTAACTTATGTTTCTGTAAAATCTGACAATGGTGATATCTGTAGGGTTTTTTATCCAATGTTTTAAGCGCTTGTTTATATAATGATTTCATGGGTTTGATTGTTGTGGCGTGTGCGTTTGACCAACTTATGATACAGTATGTGATATGTGAGAGGACCATGGAAAAGAAGTATATTTTGGCAGCTTCATTTGACAAACAGTCTCTAATGAACCTAAAATTTGATAAATAGAATTTAATCTTATTGCTAGTGTTTTGAATGTGTGTTTTGAAGCTGAGGTTTGAATCAATGTATAATCCTAGATATTTGAATTCTGTGACTACTTGTATTTTTTGTCCTGCTATTGAAATATCTGGTATAATGTTTATAGTATTTCTGGTGTTTTTTGAGAAGAACATACAAACAGTTTTGGATATATTAAGTTGAAGGCAGGATTTTTCGAGCCAGGATGTGACCGACGCCATGGCCTCTGTTAGCTTTGAAGCAACCTCCTCTGTTGTTTTGCCTTGTGCAAAAATGACCGTGTCATCTGCATACATAAGGGTGTTACAGGTCTTGGATACTGATGGTAAATCATTAATGTATATGCTAAAAAGAATAGGGCCAATTATTGAGCCTTGAGGCACTCCAGTGGATAATTGTAATGGATGGGAATTATGATTGTTGATTTGTACGACTTGTTTGCAAGCTGAAAGGTATGATTTAATAAGATTGATATATTTTGTGGAAAAGTTAAAATTCTGAAGTTTCTCTAATAAAATTGAATGGTTGACTGTGTCAAATGCTTTCCGCAGATCGAGAAAAACTGCCCCCACTATTCCCCCTTTGTCTAATGATGACTTGACTTTTTCCAGAAAATAACAAGTTGCTGTTTCAGTTGAATGATTGGACCTGAATCCAAATTGCATTGGATGCAATGAGGAGGAACTATTATTAAGATGATCAACTATTTGCTCGACAACCAGCTTTTCATATACTTTGGACACAGTAGGTAGAATACTAATTGGCCTGTAATTAGAGGTCAGTTGAGCATTACCACTTTTAAGTATTGGAATTACACGTGCAAGTTTCCATGATTCCGGGAATATCCCTTCACTGATTGACATATTGATGATGTGTGTTAATGGATTGATAACTGATTGACTTATTTGTTTTAGCATATACGTGTCCAGACCATATGCATCCTTAGCTCTAGATGTCTTTAGGAGCATTATTGCTTTTGCCACATCAGATGTAGATACAGAGCTTGGGTATAGAGGAGGCTCATTAGATACAACTGTACAACAGGGGGGTACATTTTGGCTTTGTAAAGAAAAACCTTTAGCTATAGTCATCACCGAATCAACAAAGTAATTATTGAGAAGCTGAGCCACGTCCAATGGATTCTGTAATAGTTTACCATTATTATTTAGCTGTATCGTTTTATGAGGAGAGGTTGCTTTGCAAGTTAGTTTATTGATTTGTGACCAGATGGCTTTAGAGTTACCCTGACAATTATTAATAATAGTAATAAAAAATTAAATTAAAATTAAAATTAATAAAAAGTCTGCCTTTGCTTTCCTCAATTGTCTGGTCACCTTATTCCAGAGCGTAGTGAATTTTTGTCAGTCACAAATTAATTTTGACTTGTTAGCAACTTTAAGAGCATTGTCTCTTGCTTTCATTAATTGTTGTATAATATCATTGACCCACGGAAAGGAAGACTTTTTACTTTTATATTTAACCTTAATTGTGAACTCATTTATTTTTGACCGTAAGCACTCTGTAAATTTCTGACAGGAGATTTCAAGTTTATTATTTGATAGCAAAGTGCCCCAGTTTATGTTGCTTATTGCAGAGTTGAACTCTTCTTGTTTATTCTTAGGGATACCTATAAATTCTTTTTTTTCCAGAATATGCCGAGAAACGTTGTCTAGTTAGTTTTCTTGATATTAGCATCATATTATGATCTGATAGTCCAGTTAGCATGTTATATGTTTTAACAATCCGTTCTGGATGATTGGAAAAGATCAAATCAATTTGAGTGCTAGAGTTGTTTGTGATCCTTGTTGGTCCCTTCACCATCTGGACTAAGTTGAAGCCATTCATAATTTGCAACATTTGTTTTCTTGTTTTATGGTCCATCCAGTCTCTTGGGAAGTTTTTGTCATTTGAATATCTGTCTTTTAAAATACAAAAAAAAACAATCTCCTCGAATACTCTTCATTGTCCTATACAAGCCACCGCAGTCATGTCACAGTTTTATTGATAATTTTACCGAGTTGCTTTCAGTTGTATGCACAGATTTTGATAGTTTAGTTATTACAGGTGATTTTAATATTCATGTGGATAATGTTAATGACAGAAATGCAAATGAGCTGAGTTCTGTACTTGAATCCTTTGATCTCACTCAGCACGTGAGTGGCCCCACCCACAGCAGAGGGCACACTCTAGATCTGTTATTTACAAAGGGGGTGAATATTTCAAATGTAAACGTGGTCGATGTTGCTCTTTCGGATCATTTCTGTGTTTTTTTTGACATGTGTTTCACTAACAAACCACCAGTGGACTCTGCAACTGTTCGAAGAAGGCGCATAAATGAAAATACGGGTTAACTATTTATGGGAATGATAAACTTTGAAAATGCATCGTATTCTACTGTAGATGAACTGTTTAACTCTGTCACCTCTAGTGTTTTGAATGTTCTGGATACCGTTGCCCCTGTGAAGGTTAAAATAGTGAAAAATAAGCAGAAGGCGCCGTGGGCTAAAGCAGACTCGGTCAGGGCACGAAAGAGAAAGTGCCGGAGGGCCGAGCGGAAGTGGCGCAAGTCCAACCTCCAGGTTGATTACAAGATCTTCAAAGATAAGTTGTGCGAGTTTAACCAGGTGCTACGTAGTACGAGAGAAAAGTATTTTTCTGAAATGATTGAAGGCTGCAGCAACAATCTGCGTGTTCTGTTCTCAACAGTTAATAGATTAACAAACCCCCCTGTTCAAATGCCATTAGAGCTTACTTCCAAACGTAAATGCAATGAGTTTGCTAATTTTTTCAATGACAAGGTTCAATGCATCAAAAACGCCATTGTCTCCAATCCACAGATAACCATCCAACAGCCAGAAAGGCTCTCTGAGCTAACTTACTTTGCACCTGTAAATGATAAAACTGTCCAAGAGATAATCTCCAGTTTGAGCTCCTCCACATGCAGCCTGGATGTACTACCCACTAGATTTCTAAAGTCTGTTCTGAGCAGTATGTTACCTTCACTCACACAGATAGTAAACATGTCCCTTCATTCTGGAATATTCCCAAAGGCCCTGAAAACTGCAGTCATCAGGCCCCTGCTAAAAAAGAGCAGTCTCGATGCTACGGTACTTAACAACTATCGTCCCATCTCAAATCTGCCATTTATGGGGAAAGTCCTTGAGAAAGTTGTCTACCTACAGCTTACTAGATTTCTTATAATCAACAACTCATTTGATATGTTTCAGTCCGGCTTTAGACCCCACCACAGCACTGAGACTGCTCTCGTTAAGGTTACAAACGATATCCGGCTGAACACTGACGCAGGCAAAGTCTCAATCCTAATCCTGTTAGATCTGAGTGCTGCCTTTGACATCGTCGACCATGAGATCCTCTTACAGAGACTAGAGGACTGGGTTGGCGTCGCTGGCACCGCCCTAAGTTGGTTTAGGTCTTACCTTGAGGACAGGAAG